TAATGATCTGGTGATCTGATCGTAAAAGGCCACCAGGTTGGTCTGACAGGACCTGCCACTGATGAACCCGTGTTGCTTGCCCCTAAGCATGCAGTCCCCTGCTGGCCCCTCCTGGATGTGTGCCAGAATAATTTTCTCGAACAGCTTGCCTAGGATCGAGGTAAGACTAACTGGCCTATAGTTTCCCGGGTCCTCCTTCCTCCCTTTTTTGAAGATGGGAACCACGTTGCTCCTCTTCCAGTCCTCCAGTACCTCTCCAGAGCACCACAAGTGCTCGTAAAGCTGTGCCGGGGACTTGCAATGACCTCAGCCAGTTCCTTTGAACTCTAGGGTGGAGATCATCTGGACTGGCTGACTTGAAAACGTCCAGCCCCTCCAGAAGCTCCCTAACTAAATCCTCGCTAACCCTTGGCCCAGGTGTGCCTCCCCCGGGGCCTGAGGGGGGCCCAGCAGGGAGGTGACTGTTCTGGTCCCTACTTAGGACCAAGCAATGCTTGCTCCCAAACACGTTGGTGTGCAAATTCCTGGCAGCTTCAATGGAACCAAGACTGGGCCCACAGAAGACTTTTACCCTCTGTCCTGATCAACATTTCAGGCAACAAAATTTTGTTTGGAGGGCAATTAATATGGTTAGGGGGCTGGGGCACATGACTTCTGAGAAGAGGTTGCGGGAACTGGGCTTATTTTGTCTAGAGAACAGAAGTCTGAGGTGGGATTTAATTGCAGCCTCCAACTATCTGAAGCAAGTTCCAAAGAGGATGGAGCTGGACTGTTCTCAGTGGTGGCAGATGACAAAACAAGGAGCCATGGTCTCAAGTTGCAGCAAGGGAAGTTTAGGTTAGATATCAGGAAAAACTCTCTCACTAGGAGGGTAGTAAAACACTGGAACAGGTTACCCAGAGAGGTTGTGGACTTTACATCCTTGGAGGTTTTTAAGACCTGGCTACACAAAGCCTTGGCTGGGATGATGTAGTTGGGGATGTTCCTGCTTTGAGCAGGGGGTTGGACTAGATGACCTCCTGAGGTCCCTGCCAACCCACATTTTCTATTATTTTATGAATCCCAGGCACATGCTAAGCGGAAAAAAAAATCAGGGCAGAATTTGGTTCACAGCTTACTAAAGGATTTAGAAACCAATTTCCCAGTGGAATGAATGGCTGCTGTGTGGCTAAATCCATTAGAGGTTGAAATGTACAAAACCAGCTAAGCGCAACCAGCTGTCACACATCCTCTATGGTCACCTGTATTGCCAAAGGAAAAAAAAATACTTATCTGCAACCTGCATACAAACCATCCATACACAAGTGTTGAAACAACAACAACCATCGTAACTTGGGAGGAAAACAAACAAAATATAAATCACCTGAACGATCTTGGAATCTGCCTAGGGTGCTCAAAATACACTTATAATGCCCCGAACCTGTAGTTCAAAGGGTGTGCACGTGTTTTGTATAAATATATAGATACAAATGTTATGATAGTCGTTAGATAGAAATCTCGCTACAAAATATAATTCTATATTTGTTCAAACATATGCTTTCCTCAATAGGGAGAGGTTTTGTGCAGTGTACATGTACATGTGCGTACCTTACGTATATATTCTGTAAAACTGTGTATAAGTAGCAATAAAAAAAAGATGGCAATCTGTGTTATTTGCACTCATTTTTGTTATGTGAAAGGTATGGCTCCATTACCCTTTTTACAACCGTTAAAAGGTGTAAATAAAATCATGATAAAGCTATGTTATACATACAATATAGCAAATAAGATATATAATATTGGGGATCATACTGTAAATTATATATCGCTAAAAGGAAATATCACGATAGTTGATTTGTTATGTGATCATCACCAATGAAGCATTGGTCTTAACCACACCAGCAATTATAAACCTGTATAGATTTTGTCCTTTCAGACACAGACACACATTCCCACAGCCACGTGCGTAAACTCTTATCAACTGGCATAGATAAGAAAATAATTCTACTTCAATACATGAAGTGTCCAAGTTTTTCCTATGGTAAAAATGAAAATATGAGGATCCTGAGCTAGTCTTAGCTATTTATCAAAGGAGTAACTGCTAAATTTTTAAGGGCAACTACTATATTTATGCCTATTAAGTATACCACACACGCACAGTATTATGTATGCATATAAACTTATGCATAGTATACTGCAAAACATAATACCCCAAGAATTTTTAATAATTAAGTTATATAACAAGGTTTTTAAAAACTTGAATGGCAAATGGTTAAGTATTTTTTCAAAGAAATGTCTCCAAATTTGGGTATAATAATAAATTACTGAATTATTAGGGATCAGTGGCTTCTAATTTGAGTTAGCTAAAATGTCGCCAAATACAAGGATTCACATTCCTTTATTTCTAGTATAAAACTTAACACTTTGGAAGATTCTGAAATGTTTAGTTAACATTTCTTTGTTATTCATGATTTTTAAGTGCCTCTGAGTTTTATTTGGGATCAGAAACAAGATAGCTGACAAGCAGGTCCTCCCCAACAGGTATTCCAGACCAGATGGCACTAGAAATAATAATATAATCAGATGACACCAGAAATCTCGTGAGAAAAAAATGTCTTGCAAGGTTTTCAACTACAATTTGTGGATTAACCTGTTCAGAAACTGTTTTTCAAATAAGTTTCTGACCTTTTGAATGTGAAGTCAAACTAAAAGTAGGCCTTTACACAAACCAGTCTTGGTTGCCACTACACCTGGTATAAATTAAAATATATATATATTACAGATATGCAAATCATTATAAACAACATTTGTGTGCATCTTTATACATCCATATCACTAACTTATGACTACCAATTCCAGCTTTTAAAACTGTGACATTCATCTTTTTGTGGCATCACATGGTAAATGTGCTGCCTTTTTTGGATGTCTTATCCCTATGCTTTCTTTAATAAATGTCTAGTGACTTATTCAAAAGAATTATGCATTATCTCCTCTATTGAAGAATACTGGTTTCCTCTATATCTGATGCATATCCACTGGCTCTCTTTCCCTTTTCTGAATGTTTATGCCTCATATATAAAGTCTAAGTCCCTGCAGTATTCTCAACTGTTTTGCTTTCAGTCTTTTCCCATATTGCTTTAAGACTCTGTGGTTAAAAATTGTTGCTAGTAGAATGAGTGCTGAAAACTTTTTTTTTTTTTTTTAAATAAAAATACTTTAGTTCCCAATATTAATGCAAAAACTTTCTACGATCTCAAGCAATTCTTGAGTTGGTCATGGTCATTTCTTAGATTCTCAATCTGGTGAATCAGACTGTTGACACAAATCTCCAGACACATTCTCTCTCTGGATCAGATTCTTGAATAAGTACAGTTTTCATCATTTGCTTTAACAAACACATTTGCTTATGCTTTTCCTTCTCGTGCTTCAGTCTATTGGTCATGATATTAAATAGATCTTTAGAACAAAGATAACACTAGCATACCATCAAAAGGAATCTTATTGAGTTCAGCTTTCCTGTGTTTCCTGTATGTTTTATCTGAAATGTTCTTCCCAGACAGCCAATGACCTATGTTGTTGCATTTTGCCATTTCCTTGTCTATTAAGCAGCTTATACTAGCTCTAAGCAAATGTCAGAACAGTTTCATTGCAAATCTCAGTTTAGGTCCTTTATGCCTACTGATTCACAGGATTGCTTTAAAATTCCTCAAAAAGGAAAGAGTGAAGGGATAACACATCCTTGTAACAGGAAACACCTGATATAATGCATCACACAAGTTCCTGTGCTTTGTCACTTTGGGCACAATTCTGCATCTCCAGGTAGGTGAAGCTCTCATTGACTTCAATAGAAGCTCTGTCAGTAAAACAAGTATTAGATTCAGCCATTAATGCAAACCTCAATCACCAAGATCCTTCTTGCCTCCTGGCAACTTGCGGGAGAGCAGACAACATCGCTCACTACTTACATATGAGGATGCAACAAAAAAATAAGGAGAAGCAAAGTGCTGAATATGGTATGTTTTAAGGTACTGGCCAGTCACAAACACTAAACATCTATATATACATCTGTAAAGCTGAAAGCCCTCCAACCAAGTCCAGTATCAGCAACTTGTACCTCTGTGTAGAACTGGGTAGAATAAACTACCTACAAATCTATTGTTTCACCTCATGCAAATAAAATATAAGAAGATATAATCATTATAGAACACTGACATAAAAGTGATCATGCTATGCTTTTAGAGGCTGTGGAAAAAATAATACAGCAGTGGTAAAGCATACACAAAATCCACACACAGTGTCTAGCAAAATGCAGTATTCCCAAATTATTGTATCTTTATAGTAAACTTAAAACATGTGCTTGCTAACCCAGCAACTCAGTTCCGTTTGGATTGATTACTTTCTCCATTAATCAGATTCTTCTCCTGCTGTTCTGCTAAGGATTGCCATTTCTGTCTGTTCTTTCTACAGCCATCCAATAAAGGGTAACAGGCCTCGGATACGTGAGTCATGGCCTAAAAGAAATGGAAAATTGCTTGAAAACTGTTTGTTTTTTTAAAAGCTCTCTTCCACTCAAAATCAAACACAAACACAGTTACTTGGTTTTGCAAAACATACTATATTTGAGGTCTTGAAGGGCATTTCTACACGTACCTTTTTGTCCTGTAATGCACTGGCGAGCCGGTGGGTTGGAGCAGACTCGATTAATCGATTCTGCTCCACGTGCAAGCTGACGTGCACTGTGCTGCGCCGTGTGCAGTTGTATAAGCAGTGAAATGTGCATGAGCATGCAGAAAATGGTGGTGTGCTTTTGAACTAAACAGACCTTGAATGTCATGCATTCAAGAGTGCAGCACCACCATTTTCTCAGCACTGACACATATTTTGCCACTTATACAACATGTGCCACGATGCCAGGTGCTTTTAAAAGCGCCCAGCACTGAGGTGTAAGCATGTGTACAAATGCCCGAAGATCTTAGGTCTTGAGATTTCTTATTCTGCTGGAGACCAGGCAAGAGTGACCTGCCATATTTGGGTGAAACAGAAAACACATTTTGGAGAAAACTGGATTCCCATCCTCTGGCATAGACTAGAATGCTTAAATATATACATGTATGTGTTAAGAAGTTTCTACTGAAAAAAATAGTGACATTTGCAAACAAATCCATGGGTATTTCTGTGATATTCCCTTTCTTATTTCCCAACCACATCTGACGGGGAGACATCTTTAGGCTGTAAAAGGCTTAGTTCTGAAGCATTATTTCATCTGAATACTCCAATTAGCTTGTAATTCAGTGGCACTAAATCCCATGTATAAGGACCTTGCAGCTGAGCTGAATGTCCCTTAGAAGTTTTAGTGAATGCCTGCACAATCACATGAAGCAAATCCTGGCCATACCGAAGTCAGTACATATAGAGTGAAACCAGTCAGAATTTTACTCTATGAATTTCATTTGCATTCAAACAACTGGCTTCAGTGCAATTCTTGATTTATACCATGGTGAGATAAGAATCAGGCTCTTATGCACAACTTATTGGAGCTTTCCTAGAAAAAACATGACAGAAAAGAACGTCAACTGGTCCAAACTCCTAGTTAAGGCAGGATCATCTCTGTCTAAGCTTTCCTAGACAAATTTTTGTCTAACCTGAATTTCAAAACTTTCAGTGATAGAAATTCCAGTCTCTCTAGATAATCCTCCCCAGTTAGAAAGTTCTTTCTAATATCCAACTTAAATCTCCTTTGTTGAAATTTAAGCACATTAACACTTGTTCATTTTCTAGGGGACAAAGAGAACAGTTGATCACCAACTTCTATATATCAATGTGCTATGTATTTCTAAACTTTTCTCAAATCCACTTCCGTCTTCTTCTCCAGGGTAAATAATCCCAGTTTTTCAACTTTTCCTCATGTGATACTTGTCAAACCTCTGATCATATTTATCACTGGATTCTTTCCAGTTTGTCTATATCTTTCTTTAAGTGTAATGCCCTAAATAGGACACTGTACTCCAGGTGGGACCTCACCAGTGCTGAATAGAGTGGAAGAATCAGTTCCCATGACCTCCATACAACAACCCCGTTAATATCATATTTACTCAAATCCAAGATGAGCCGCCTCCCACATGTAACATGGGGGGGAAAAGCCCTTTGTATTGAATTCAAGTTGCGGGCAGGGGGGAGCAGCTACTGTGAATCCACTTCTTGTCCTGACCCAGGGTTGAAGTCAAAACCACTACCTCTATCCTCCCTGTCATCTCTCTACACCTCTTATGCTCCAGCTCCAGCCTGGGGAGTGGAGCACGTAGTTGCTCTAGCGCCACCTTGGCCAGGCAGAAGCTGAGTCTGAGTCTGGAGCTGCAGGGGCAGCAGTCAGGCCACTTGACTGCCCTGCTGTCCCTCCCTCCCCTACCCCCCACACTGTCTTCCCTCCTGCCACTGCTTGCCTTGCTGCAGTGGTGGGGAGCATGAATTGAAGACAACCCTCCAATAATTAGAATCTATACATGGAAAAATTATAACAAATTGATGTATTTTCCTTGTATATGTAACCCTATATAATTTTATTTCTGGGGGGTCATCTTAAATTAAGAGTCATCTGAGATCTGGGTAAACACCCAGTATGCTATTAAGTATATTCAGCACACCATATTCAGCCTGTGGTCCATTATAACCCCCACGTATTTTTCTGTAGCACTGCAGCCCAGCTAGTTACTAATTTTGTGTTTGTATATTTGGCTGTTATATCCTAACTGCAATACTTTACTCTTGTCCTTACTGAATTTCATAATGTTTATTTCAGACTACCCCCCCACCCCCCAATTTACCAAGGTCTGTTTGAATCTCAATTCTAGCCTCTAAAACAGTGGGGGTCACAAATTAGCTCCATATCCTTCCAGAGTGCCACTCTAATCCTCTTCCCCTGCCTGATCTGCTGCTCTGCTTTCTGCTCCCTGACCTGTGCTCCCAGCCCAATGTGCTACTGTTTGCTGCTTCCTGCCCTATCTGCCATGGTGTTGTCTGTCTTGTCCCTTGTCTGCTGCATGCCACACAGAGGCTGTCAGTACCACCTGTTGCACATGTGCCAGCCCTGCTCTAAAATATCTCTACCCTAGCAAAGGGTATCATTAAGATCCAGAACAGTACCAGATCCAGGACCAACCCATGGGGTTCCTGCTTGATACCTCCTCCAGTTAGACACTGAGCCACTGATGGCTGCCCTCTGGGTATAATTATCCAACAGGTTCTGTATCCATATTATAGTAGTTTCAGTGACATAGTTTTTCCTTAGCTTGCTTTTGAGACCATTACTGCATACTATGATAACCCTTGCTGAAGTTCAGGCACATCATATTGAGTGTACCACCTCCAGGCTCTGTCACTGAGACTTTAGCAACAGGCCCCACCCTTAGATTCCTGGTCTCTCTGGGAGCCCCAAAGGTTGAGTGAAATAGATCCATAGGCTGGCTTAAGGCCTGCAGGCTGTACATTTGAGACCCCTGCTCTCAATGCTTAGAAAAAAGTTCCTAGATGATATGCTCCATTACCTTTCTTCATGTCAAAATTGGACTGATTGCTCTGTAATTACCTGCATCAACTTTGTTCCCTTTTTTCAAAGATGAACATGACATTTTCCCTTTTCATCTCCTGGAACTTCAAACAATGTCCAGGAGTTCTTGAAGAAAACAGTCAATGGCTCTGCAATTCCCTTGGCCAATTCCTTGAGTACTCAGGGATGAATCTGAGCCAGCCCTGCGGACTTGAAAACACCTAGCTTCTCCAAGTTCTCTCTGACGTGTTCTTTTGTTCCTCTAGACCAGGGGTAGGCAACATTTTTTGGATGAAGTACTGAAAAAACCACAATGTCTACCTTGGAAGTGCCAGAGTGCTGACATACTGGAGCCCAGAGCAGCTGTTTGCAGCCTCCTGGCTGCACCAGTCTGCTTGCAGCAGGGCTTGCAGCCTCCCAGCTGCCTGCTGGGAGCAGCCTGGGCTCCGCAGCTGGCAGCAGCTGCTTACAGCCTGGCCTGGCGGTGGTGTGCTGAGCAAAATGGCCTTGCGTGCCATGCTCGGCATGTGTGCTGGGGGTTGCTGACCCCTGCTCTAGACTGACTATTCTGCCTCCCTTGTCTTAACTGTGCTTATCACCATACAGTTGACTTTTCTGCAGCGACTAAAGTAAACAAGATATTAAAAACTTTAGTCTTCTCCACCGTGTCCATTTGTTAACTTCCCCTCCCTATTCAGACCTTCATGGATGCAAGGAGCTCAGGTGTCCTTCTGCAGCATGTAGGCACACTCCTAGAGGTGAGATGGAAGTTTGTGAAGCACCCACTTAGTGGGAAGGCTGAAGTTACAGCTGAGATCACTGGCTATTTTTACAGCATTAGAACAGTAAGAGTATGCTGGTTTCTTGCTCATTTTCCAAGTGCCCTTTTATGAAATAATTTGTATTTGATACTTATTAAAGTATCCATATAAGCAGGTGGAGTTCACAGCTGCTCCATACTGAATAAACACACACTTGATCTGCTCCATACTGAGCTCTAATCTACAATTTGCCCGTACTATTAAACCTAAACAGCAACAAGACATACATTGCAGCCTAAGCTTTCTCCTTAGTGGGGCTGCTCTTTGCATTTCCCTGCAGCACCCTGGTATGTAATGCTCTTTGTCCTATACTCTGTCAAATATGGGGACACCTACCCTGAACACATATGCATGGTCCTGCATTCCTGTATGGACCAGCAGCTGCCACTCTACTCCAGACTGTTTTAATATCTAGTCAATGAGCTTATGGTCTCAGCTATGCTTCTCAGGCATAGCTTTGAGCTGCACAGCCCCACTGGAAGCTCAAAACAGCTTCCTGTGAAAGCACAAGGAGCCCCTGGGGGTGCATCCTCCTTCTAAAGGGTGCGGTGCGGGCTCCACTCCAAGTGCTCCCCACAGTGCCTGAGGAAATGGCTCTGCATACTTGCTGGGGGTTACTGCCACGTGGCAGGAGTGCACCTTGTGCTCAGGAGGACACAAGGCATGGGCTTTTGCTCTACTGTGAAGCAGGAGCACAGAGAGGAAGTTTTTCTGCCTCCTTTGTACTTCTGCACAATCATGCAGGGGCTGGGCACAATCTAATCCAGTGTCCTTCAATAGCTAGCTGACAGGAGAGCCAGTGCTCCTCTGTGAGATTCATAATGGAAAGTTTCCCTAGAATTCTTCTCTGAGTAAGTATTCCTCCTCCTCCTCAGAAATTCAGTCTTTAGAGTTGTGAACTCTGAATCTCTTTGATCCATAATGGCTCTGGTTAAATAACAGGTCTTTGGCAGGGAACCTGCAGTCCCCTACAGCAGCCTGCCTTCCCTTAAAAGGAACTGTCTGGGAACCCCCTCCTCCCAAATACCATTCCTGAGCTGTTTCCATAGCACAAAAGTGGAGGCTGCAAGACTACTGCTGACTGTCCTATTTAGCTTGTTCATTTGCCCTAAGGGGTTCAGAGACAGCACAACAATCCTGCTGTGAAGAGTGGGGCGGGGGAGGATGACTGTCCATTTTATAAATAAAAAGGCATAGAGATATGTTGCAACTTGCTCAGAAGTACACAGCAACTCACTGGCACAGCCAGGCATATGACCCAGTGATCTGCCTCCCATTTCCCAGGTGCATTCTCCAGAATACACTGCCTGCCCCCTACCTGTTTTTGCAATGATTAACACAAACCACCTCAATATGAGCAATTTGTGATGAACACACAGTCATTTTTCTTGAATGAATACTGAACTCATAAAACAAACTGTCTTATGTTATTATGCTACTGAACCACTTAAGTGCTTCTAACTTTATCTTCTGCCCTTACTGCAGGCTACAGTACTCAGTTCAGGTTCTGATTCAGAAGGGTCCTTTTTCAAACACCTTACCTCATACAGCTGTAAACAAATGGCATCTATGAATCCAACCTGCATGCTAGGGATCTTATTTTTCTTCTCTCTGTTCATTAGATCCTGAAATCATAAAGCAATTCAGTCAGCTTTCATGGAACACATACCAAGTAAATCAGTTCTATAGTAAAATTAATAAAAAAAGAAAATCCATGGGTCAGGTTGGCACTATCCAATCCAGCAGCACTTCAAAAAACCCCAGGAAGCTCAGCACAGAAATGTAGAACCACATTATGTTACAACATAGGAGCTTGCTTGGATGACCAGCCTCAGGAAACCTTTTTCCTCTGAGGCCAGAGAGTTGGTAGAGTTGGAAAATCTACTTGTTCGGGGTGGGATACAGGTTGTACTGTTCTTTAAGACTTCCCTTCCTGGACAATTACCATATTTTCTTGCATACAGCACACAACTCCTACCCCAAGTAATCCCCCACAAAAGCTGTTTTGTGTGTTAACCAGGGAAGCTGATTTTTTACCTAAGATAGGACAATTTTGCTGTCTGTTAGGGCTTTTCCTGTTTCACAGCTCTTTAAATTCTCTTCAAGATCACAGGTCCATGACTGCCATGGAGACCAGTTTTTAGCAGCTGCTAGGGTTATATTTAAGCAGGAAAAAGATGGTGGATCATCTCAAGATTAGGCTCTGTCCCTGCAGCCATAACTCTGGAAAAATATTTCTTCATAATGCCTTTCAAAAATAAGGCTTGTAGTATACTGGGAGAGGGGAGACGAGAGGTCAGGGGGACACATGTATGCAAGAAAATACAGTAGTTTAGCAGCAGTGTCAGTTACGTTTGAGAAATATATGTTCTTTGTGTCAGTAGCCTAAAGGACAGATGCAGGTATTTGGGAACCTAGCCATTAGTTGTCAAAATGGTGAGAAAGGAGCTGGGTCTATAGATCATAGACTTGCTACTGGGGGGCAATAATATTTAAAAAGAAAGAAAGGAAGGCCCCATTGACAGCAACTACCTTGAAAGTGGGTGTGCTCTCTTACTTACTGTTGGCTCTATGTTGAGTTCCTTTCTTTCCTTGTCTCCTTGGTCAAAAAATTCAGTAGCTACAAGCTCAGCTATCTGCAAAAAAGCGACATACCACATCTGTGAGTTGCAAAAGCCCTGGTGATATATTCTCTGTGCAGAGCCAAAACAGAAAACTTAATTGCAGGACATCTGCCCTTAATGACAAAAGAATGAAGTCCTAAACTTGATAGGCTAATGAGATATCCTGAACTGACTTCTCAAGGGGCCTATCTGTGAAATCTTTAGTACTGAACCATGTTCTCTAAATCTGCTCAGCCAAGTAGTGAAATGGCAAATGCAACATTTTGCTTGGATTAAATTATTTTACAAAACTAGGTCTATTTTAATCAAACACTAATATTTTACTATAAGGAGATGTAACTGAAACAAGTGGCATTTGTTGGACATTAGTTCTGAAACACTGGGCTTAGTAGTAAATAGATTTCAGCCGTGACTGTGAGGAACTTCCAGAGGGCTTGCTCCTCATGTTGTTGCCACTGACTTCAGAGAGGATTCACTGACTACATATCAAGACAGAGTTGGACCTAGCAAGTCCCAGAGGCCAAGAGCAGATACACATTTGCAGTAGTTCAGATTCCACGTGCTTCAGTGCTGTACAGATGTGTGGTTTCCCCTGACCCTTCTCCTGGAGCACTTAAAAATTGCTGTGATGTCATGCAGTAGGCATGACCTCCAGGAAAGAGCTGCAACATGGTTTTCCTTGGTTATCAGCATTGTACATCACTATGCTCGCCACCCTGGATAGGGAGGGAGGGAGCAGGAGGGACAACAAATGAGTGCTCTCTTGTGTACTTAGTGGGTCTTCGACACCTCTAGAGACTGGCTGAGAAGCATACATGGAATTCTGTTTTCCAGCCCTCCCTGGAGATTATGTTAAGGGGGGTGGTGAAGGGGAAATGAAGTGCTGTGGGCCATCAGAAGACAATGGAGCCTTTTCAGGAAGTGCTTCAAAAATGCTCCTCAGTCTTTGCAGGTCATTTTGAAGTGCTTCTTTGACCACACATGCCTGCACATTTGCTGTTTGGAGGGCTTCAAACACACTTGGAATGCTTCAAACAATATGTCTGTCCAAGGCCAGAAGCTCCTCTGAAATTATAATGCTTTGCATTTGTACACACCTTATTGTCCAAAGATTGCTTTATACAGGTTAACAAAGGTAAACCTCACAACCATCCTGAGAGACAAGGATTACTTTACAAATGGGTAAAGTGAATATTAAGAACTATTTTTTTTTTAAATTAGAGGTTACAACTAGAATTTTCAAAAGTGACTAGTGATTTGTGCACTTTGGTTTTTGTGGAGCCCTAATCTCTTCCTTTCAAAAAATAGCAAGTACACACCTTAGGAAATTCAGGTCCATTCCAGCCGAGAACCCCC